TGGATGCCCTTTACGCAGGTCAGGTTTTTGAGAACGAGGGCATGTAAATCTATGTTGCGTGAAATCAATCTACTCTACAGGCAGAAGAATGTGATTTCCAGTTCCTCTGTTGATATTGACAAAATAATCAATGCTGCATTGTTTTTCATCCTTCGCCCGACACATACTCAGCTATATTGACTCCAGTTCTCCGAACATGCCATCTTCTTTTGATCCTATCATATCTCTAATTAAGTGTATAAACACATGTAATCTCTCAATTTTTCGACCGTACCTGGTCCAGATAGCTTACAATCTACACTTATTAAACATAGTGCTGTCTCACTGTCCCACATTTTGGCACACATAGCTAATCTTTCACTCAAGCTTCAAACTATTCCGGAATGTTGGCAACCCGGTAAAAATTATATCCATCCCCAAAGGAACAACACAGACCCCGATTGCGAAACATTTCAGGTCAATTGCTCTCATTTCCACTGGTTTGCAATGGACGAAGCGGGCAGTTCTATAGCACCTTGAGTTATCTATCTCCACTATTTAGTCAAAACTATAATTTTCCACAATTTAAGTTGTTTACTTATCAAATCGAAATGTTCTCGATTCTTGCAAGTCGTTCCGTTGACTTCATTAGAGTTACCAGATCCATGTACTGTGCACCCACTTCATAGCAATATCTGGATGCCTGCCATGCAGAACAAACTTCTCAGTCTATAGTTGAACGGCCAGGAGAGATGAATGTGCGATCTACCTCGACCAGAATGATATGGCATTTCTTGACCAGTTATATTTGCAGTACGCTTAGATTTTTGTTTGTTTGTCCTCCTCCATGTGCAACAATTTGAGACATCCATTGTACCATGATGCATTTTGTCTGTCTGTACGAGGTCGAGTGTATGCTACAGTAGTTTGGTTAGTGCTCCTATCTGCCTCAGAGATTAGTCCTTTAAGAAAACAGAGAACAGATAGGTTGTCGTTGTGTTTATGCCATATTGCGCAATCGGGTAAGCAATGTTCAGGTTGGACACAAAATCGTCGAGTAATCTAGAATGCTCATTCTGCACCCTACGGTTGGCTAAAAACACCCAAATTCCAAACCAACCAATAGGAGGCGTATGAACTATACGCATACCTTTCCGGATGTGACAATAGTCACCAGCTCGATTGGGCATCGAGATGTATTGGGCACCTTGGACATTTGACCCCGTCCGACGGGCGTATGATCCGATGAACTGGACACCGGCTCACAATGGATTGTGATTTTCGCACACCGACCCGCTTCGTTGTGGGTCAGGGTTTGGCTGGTCAAAGGCTCGGGTTGTGGATTCCGCAAGAAAATTCATCTGCTTTGGCCTGGGCAGCCTGGCAGTATTCGGCCCACTTGCAAATCGTGGAGTGTTTCTCTTCTTACAGAGGTTAATTTACCATGATTTGTTTGGCACAGAGTCTGGTATCAGATGTGTGAAATATATATATATATATATATATACCCACGGTTGTTGTTGTCTGTCTTCTGTTCTTCGCCTCCCTCTCATCGAGTGTCTTGTATGCATTTGCTCGATGATCATGTGCTTTACGTTTCTTAGTAGGTAGACTGACTTCCACGTGCATCCCCATGCATACCTGATCCTTATTGTGCATTACTGATCCTTAAGCATTTGGGGATTCATTTGTGACCAACTGACGCAAGTGATCTACCTACCCAAATGTCAAATGTTTTGAAACATTTTGGAATGTGACATTAGTGACGCGGTAAACATTTCTATGCATAACATATCTTATTTCAAACAGAACAACAGAGTGAAGAACAAACTCGTTTTCCGAGATTCGTATTCATACCAAAATATCTCAATGCATATATCTCTACTGGGGAATACAATTGTCTTGGGAAAATAAAATAAAACCAAATCACAAATTACTATAATACAGCTTAAGATGTCCGAAATCCAATTCAAGATGTCACAATATATCACAATATTAGCAGCCGTCGAGGACAGGGC